CATAAAATCAATACAAAGTCCGTCGAGTGTAACAATGTTTTTTAGGTCACTTCTTTCTCACTCTTGCCTTACATGTTTCGGTTTTAGTAAAACCATCTTCAGAGGCACATGGTACTAACAAGAAAACACTGGCGTTGTTTAACTGTACACAGTATATATGCTGTGTGGGCACTGCTACAAATGTCGATGTGTAAAAGCACAACACTAGCTTGGAGTACTGAATGCACGTTCAACCTTCGCATTCAATCCGAAGTTGCCCTCGCGTTAAAACATCACTATTAAATTATTTAAAAAATATTTAAAAGTTTAAGACTTTTGAAGTAAAATATAAAAATGTTAGGCTGCTTCTTAATTTATCCCGATGTTGGGAGATGTCTTGAGGTTGTATTGGCTTGTAGTTGGATTATTGCTGTGCGTTGTGTACTGTGAAGATGGTTTTACTAAAACCGAAACATGTAAGGCAGGAGTGAGAAAGAAGTGACCTAAAAAACATTGTTACACTCGACGGACTTTGTATTGATTTTACCAGTAGTAATAATTCCATTCTTTATTTATTTGTGCTTAATCAACAGTCCAAAAGTCATTATAAAGTAAGCCTCAGCAAGAGGAGAAAACAAAACATGTACATACAAATAAATGACAGGGAGATATCTCATTATCATTTACCATTATACAATACGATTAAGAGGAACCACTTTTGGCGCAAGTATGTCAATGCACCTACAAACATCAGTAACAGATGTGCAGCTAGCAATGCTGGAAAGTTTGAAACTGAAATCTAGAACTTCATATTCTGCACTAACACATCTGGAAGTATATGTAAACGTGATTCCGACTTGGCCAAACATCTGGGGGGAAATTAGTGGTTCCTGTTCTTAATTAACAACTGTCACGAAGGTGTGTGCAGTAGAGGCATAGCTTCATGCATTAACCTTACCACTAGATGCAAGTGATTAACAATGATGACATATGACTTAGTTTGTCACTAGGATTACATTTCTCTTCCATATCAGTTTCAGTATTTTGACTGAATGCGTAATATCGATACACAATCTGAGTCATGCTTATGTTTTTAACCTGCACAATACACACTGATGGCTGATGACAACTGCTTTACATTCTCTTTCTTGAAAGAAGAAAAGCCAGATAGTGAAACTGACGTAACACTATTTCTCCACAATCAATGGCGATGAATCCAGTGACAACAAAGACTTTGTACAACTACAAGCGAACTTAAACATAATGTGTTCTTTGAAATATGTAAGCACAATTTACTTTTTTCATAAGATATATTGTTAAATTTGTTAATCTTAATTTTTAAAATGTTTGTAAGCACTGGGATTTATCTGTTGAATGAACTGGGAGTCACATTTTATTTGTCCATACAATATTCGCAAATAAGAATAGTTGGTTTTTCCAAAGTTTGTAAGTAGATGTTCATCTGCACTGTCTCCATATGCTGCAATGTGGAAAACAACTGACCACATGATATCTCCTGAACAAACAAGAGAAATTTTGAGAAATGCATCTTTACACTAAACTGACTTCAAATGTTTTACTTGTCATCTTGTTATACATCTGGATTGTAAGATGCATGTGAATTCAGGCAATATTTTCTGGAACTAAATGTGCATTAATATAATCTGGAAAATAATATTTGTTACAAAGTAGCTCTCACGCCTTTAATAAAAACCAGAAGAAAAAAAAGTACAATTGAATCTTATTTAGATATGACAAACACAAAGTACAGTTACACTGTACCATTGCTACTGTATGACTGGGAATGTAGAAGTGAAATTGAAAGGAGATGAAAAAATTAATGATACTATCATCACACAAATTATTGCAAAAAATGTATAAAATGAACAAAACTGTTTATTTTATCTCACTACATGTGCAATCATTAAAATACATCTTAGTTATACTACAGGAGGGGGTGAAAGGTAATAAATATCCTCATCCTGAAAATCGCACTTTCATACACAATGACAGTTCAGTTCTCATATACACGTTCACTGCCTTTTGACTGGAAGACATCTATCTTCAGAAAATCTACATATCTTTGAACGTAAAAATAAAATGTGTATTTAAAGACATATGTAATAATGGGTAGAAGCGATGCAAAATTGGTTGTGACATGTCCTTGAAGAAGGCAATGAATTTTTTCACAGTATATTTGTGCACAATTTATATCAGCAGAGAAACGAAGCACAATTCTTATTTCTGCATGGGAACATGTAACACTGGAAGTGATGGAGAACTGGTACTTTGTGTCATTTCTTTGATAAATGCGTTTAATTTTTCCACCACATATTTCTGCACACATACATTGAAGTCAGTATGAAAATGTTACAGATCTGTTCATAAATAAAAAAAAACAGAAACATTTTTATTTCAAAAAATTCAATCAACACTCTTCCATTTATTTCCTCTATTTAATCAAAGAAGGAAGAATTACCTTATATTTACGGCAAGATCGATTTGATCTGTGCACCTACCAGAACAAGAGCCAAAACAGGTGTTCAGAAAATAACTATTGTAGGTAGAGTTTGTAGATCAGAACAGGTTTCAGTTGGCACCATTTCGTTTCTTGTCCACACCAACGTTTTTGGCATAAGTGAGGACAGCTAAGAACGTTTTTCAGTCAGTATAGTTCTCATACATCTGATTTTTGTTACTCCAGCTTTTCTTCTTAAATCATAGGTATTTGGAAACAGAACAATTCTACAAGCCTTTAAAATGCCGTTTCAAAGTGAATACTATATTTCAAATTGCTGTTATAAATAAATTCAATGATGCCTTTCATATATGTGGTAGGTCCAATAATTTTCCATTGCCCAGTACTTACTAGAACACAATTCAATCAAACAGAAGAATGTTATGCTATATATTTCTGGAATTGCAAAGTTTTCAAATTTCAGAGTCCTCGTGACAGACACTAGTGCTATTTTTCTTTCCGATCTGAGAGGAGACTGTTATGTAGTTTACTTATTTCTGGCTCGAGAACTTCATATATTAACATTCCACTGTCGTCAAAGAAGTTAGCAACAGACTTCACCAATGAGGCTTCTCTCAATGTCCCTGTTTTGCCATCTTTGCAACTCAGAACCAGGTTGTACTTGTCATCATATCTGAAAAATTAAAATTAAACGTCTTTAAAAGAATGTAGTTATGTGGTGAACATGAAATACCATACCTTAGCAAATAATTAATGCATTTAAACATTCTGACTTCATGGAGCCTTGATACACAATAAAAACTACAAAATATAAAATTTAACAATTATAATAGATAATTAGCTATTAAAATTGTCCTTGTTAAATTAATAATACATTAATACTTAATAATGACTTAATAATTAATACATAATTATGTATTCAATCCAAAGCTGCAAGCCAAGTGGGTGGCAAAACATTTTCCTTTTACAAGTGAAACTAGCATTTAGTTAACTGAAATTTCAATGGTAAACTGTTGAAAACATCTGTCAAACCTCAATAATTAGAGAAGTTTTGGAAAGACGGCTACATTTCTACTAAGATCCTAAAACTGACAAAGTAAAAAAAAAATATATGTATTCTATGGTACTGCTGTCTAGAAGAAATGCAGCACAGTATAATAATTCTGTCTAGTTCACAATTAAACAAGAAAGCTACATATCATTCAGTCACAACTTGACCAAACATAAATAGATGGTGGCCAAGTCATTTGGTGCCCAGACATACAGCAAGCACTGACGGATATTTACCTAAGTTCAGCAATAAAAAAAAAGAGGCAAAGCTATCCTTGTAACAAGCTGTGGAGGCCCATAGTATTGTGGAAGGTCGAAGATCCCACATCTTTGTGGCAACCAGGTCATATATGACACTGAGGCTGTCAACTTTATGCCCTTTACCCCCAGGGAGATTCCTGGTACACACTTCTGTTACAGGCTGAGTCAACTCAAGGGTCATAGAGTGGCTAGAAGGGTTAGGTCAACTGAAAAATCCAATGACCTTATCAGGAATTGAACTCATGACCTTCTGGCTGATAGCATAGTGCCTCAATATGAGTAACAGCTATTTTTTTCAAATTACCACATTTTTTCAGTATTGTGTTGAAATCTCAAATAGGTTCACAACTTTGGAAAACTTGGAAACTGAGGTGGATGTTAATAAAGCTTGGGAAACTATTAGAGAGAATATAAAAATGTCTGCCAAAGAGAGTCTAGGTTATTATGAACCGAAGAAGCATAAGCCATGGTTCGATGAAGGATGCTTAAAATTATTAGATCAAAGAAAGCAGGCCAAATTGCAATGGTTACAGGATCCAAGGGAGTTACGAGTAAATGGGGATAATCTGAACAATATAAGACGTGAAACCAGCAGGCATTTCAGGAAAAAAAAAAAAGACAAAACTGATGAGCTTGCAATGAACAGTAAGAACAAGTACATTAGTGACCTGTATTGAGGAATAAATGACTTTTAAGAGGGGTTACCAGCCCAGCAGTAACTTAGTGAAGGATGAGAATGGTGATCTGCTTGCAGATTCCCACAACATTCTGAATAGGTGGAGGAATTACTTCTCTCAGTTATTGAATGTACATAGGGCCTGTGCTGTTAGGCAGACAGAAATCCATACAGCTGAGCCATTAATCCATGACCCTAAAGACCTTTTGAGGTTGAAAGTGCTATTGCAAAACTGATATAAATTGCCAGGTAGTGATCAAATTCAGGCAAAACTTATTCAAGCAGGAGGCGAAATATTATGTTCTAAGATCCACAATCTAATTACTTCTATTTGGCATAAGGAAAAATTGCCTGATCAGTGGAAGGAGTCTATTATTGTACTAGTTCACAAGAAGGGTGATAAAACTGACTGCAGTAATTATCAGGGGATATCACTGCTATCAACTTCATATAAAATTTTGTCCAATACTCTTCTTTCAAGGTTAAGTCCATATACAGATGAAATTATTTGGGATCATCAGTGTGGGTTTCGACATAACAGATCAGATCTTTTGCATTCGTCAGATACTGGAGAAAAAATGGGAGTACAATGAGACAGTACATCAGCTATTCATAAACTTCAAGAAAGCCTATGATCCAGTTAGGAGGGAAATATTGTACAATATTCTAATAGAGTTTGGGATGCCCATGAAGCTAGTTAGGTTGATTAAAGTGTGTTTAAACGAAACGTATAGTAAAGTCCGTGTAGTTAACATCTGTCTGATAAATTTCCTATCCAGAATGGTCTAAAACAAGGAGATGCTTTATCACCATTCCTTTTCAACTTTGCCTTAGAATATGCAATTAGGAAGGACCAGGGAAACCAGGTGGGAATGAAATTAAATGGGACACATCAGCTGTTGGTCTACACTGATGATGTGAATCTACTGGGTGATAATGTAGATACCATAAAGAAAAACACACAAACTTTAACTGACGCAAGTAAAAAGGTTGGTCTAGAAGTAAACACAGAGAAAACTAAGTATATGTTATGGTCTCGTCACCAAAATGCAGGGCAAAATCATGACATAAAGATAGGAAACAGATGTTTTGAAAATGTGGCACAGTTCAGATATTTGGGAACAATGATAACAGATCAAAACCTGATTCAGGAGGAAATCAAGAGGTGATTGAACTCGGGTAATGCTTGCTACCATTCAGTCCAGAACCTTTTGTCTTCTCGTCTGCTGTCCAAAAACATAAAAATTAGAATATACGAAACTATAATTTTGCCTGTGGTTCTGTATGGCTGTGAAACTTGGCCTCTGACATTAAGGGAGGAACATAGAACAGGGTGTTAAGGAGACTATTTGGACCAAATAGAGATGACGTGACAGGAGGTTGGAGAAAACTGCATAATGAAGAGCTTCATAACTTGTACTCTTCTCCAAGTATAATTAGAGTGATCAAGTCAAGGAGGATGAGGTGGGAAAGCCACCTCATAGTCATACAAACTGCTGTTCAAAGAATCACTTATAAGTACACACATTTTCTGAGAAGAACAAATCTTATGACCAGGATCAAGCATCAGTTCTTGATCTGCTATCCCAAATTCACTGACAGGCCATGGTTTATGTTAATAGTCTGCTGCCATTTTCCATATCTTCTGAACATGAAAAATATTCTGCATGATATTAAACATAACTGCTGCTATGTCTCTTTTACAAATGCATTTAAAAAAACACACACAGCACAACATAACAGGAAGAAAACCCATAAATTGGAATACATATGCACATAGAGGGGACCATACATTAACAAATTAATAACTTAAACCATGATAACAGAAGCACAGCAGTTCCTTCAATTATAATTTTGAACACCTGATGATGACGACCATATTGGTTGAAACATCTAGTGAAAAACGTTTAAAAATTAAAAGTTGTATGTTGTGCAAAACTTCTAGAGCCAATAAACTTTAATTAGTTTTATATAAAAACATGTTGCACGCGAGACAGTAGAAACAGTAAACTCTGACACCTAAATAAAACTGCACAGGTGGTACATTCAGGCAAAAATGGTATGCACACTATGGGCCTAAACGTGTACCTGTCATACAGATTTCACTGCTGTTCTGGTATTCAACAAACAACAACAGTCTACCAAGCAACAATCAATTTTGTTTCCAATGTAAAGCATTAAAGGTCAATTACATAAAAGAACATTTTTCATTGTTTTTTGCACAATTATTTTTCATTGTTTACCACAGTACATACTGTATTCTTCCATCACTTAAGAAGCACAGTGAGAGCATTTGATCGTTGTAATGCTACCGCCTGTTGCAATGAATGTTGGGTACAGTCCATACTGGCACTGAGGCCCACTCAGCCTCTTAACCAATGGGTACAAGGGGGGTTTTGCCCAAGGACAAAGTGGCCAAGACATGAAACTGAACACTCACTTCCATCTAGTGCCAAGGTCAAGAATGGTCAAGCTAATTCATTAAACACAAGGAAAATTTGTACTTTTTTACCTTCATTACAACACACCTCTGAATTACATATGTATATATGTGTGATGAAATACACCATGTGCATTATTTTGCTCACCTCCATAATTTCCACTAGAACTTCCATAACATACCGTAACTAACTACAGTGTAGTCTTCCTTAAAGGAATGACACCCAATAAAAAAAAATTCTGCTTGTATGAATGCAGTGATTACAAAAGTCTGTCACTAAACACTTGTTCCTCTTTCTCTCAATGGCTCACTTTATTATTATTATTTTCCCATATGACCAATAGTTTGCATGCATTTTTCATTTCCTCTGCCTGTGCTACATGTTCCACACACCTCAGTCTTCTTGATTTATACACTCTAGTAGTATAGAAAATCCAATTTACCCTTATATTCGTTGGCTAGAAATTTGTTTGCTCATGCCTATCCCTGGCTGGCTGCTGAACCATCACTTAGTCACCTGATGCCAGTTAGCTTATCTCAAAAGAAATGATTGTTTAGCATGACTGGTTTTTCTTGAGATATGTACAAATACAGTTCATTATGTTGTGAAACAACATGTGTTTAAAAATGAAGTTGAGCAGTGAACAGAAATTATTCATTATTGATATCTCTGCACTGCATTCTTCATGGAAGAAATGCTGTAGAAAATTTCATGAGAATTATTCTTACAGTATAGTGTCATACACACAAGTGATTCACAGTATCATAACAAAATTATGGGATTGGTGCCAGACAAAAAGAAATCTCAAGAAAGATGTACTGACTGAAGAAAAACTGGATGATGCTGGTACTTGGTGAGAAGCAAGACCGAAGATGTTACATCTTTTGGCTCTTCAGTGTGAGTTGGCAAAAGGTATGGTTCATGTTGGTACAAAGCTGCTGAAGTTATAGCCTTACAAAACTATGTTCCGACATAGCCTTTTGCCTGCAGAGCATGAAGCAGGAATTTCATACTGTAGGTGGTTTCAGGAATTGGTAGTCATCCAGCTTCTTGACCCAGAACTTATGTTTTAATTTCATGAGGTATGGTTCATTTTAAGTAGTTAAGTAAACAGCAAAAATAACAGATACTGTACCAGAGAAACTCCTCATGCTTTTCATAAAGTGCCATTGCATGATTTGAAGCTCAGGTTTGATGTGCAATTAGTGCAGAGGATAACCAGATCCATGTTTTTCATGGAACAATAAATTCTGAACATAACATGAAACTGATTGTGACCCTTCTTCAAATCAAAGTGACTGATGAAAAAAAATCATTCATTTATCCAAGATAATGCAACAGCACATACAGTGAACAATTCTACAGATGTAACAGATGAAGTTTTCAGCAAATGAGTCATAAGCTCAGGAATGTGGCCTTTATGATCGCCAGATTGAAATAATTATGGCTTTCATTTGTGGGGCACATTAAAAGCAAAAGTGTACGTGAACAATATGCAGTCTTTGGAAGAATGCTGGCTACCATGCCAAGTATAAGCAACAAGAGTGCTGTATCCGCTATACAAACCAGTCTAAAGATAAACTGCACACCCTCTATTAAGCAAACTCTAAATAGTATTATCAAAACAAACAAACAAACAAACTCCGTGGTTTTAGTCCACAAGCGAACTATACTAACCGAGCGACCTCCGCTTATGAGTGAAGTTAATGCCAACTTTAGTGGATAAAGGGTGTCACATGGTCAGCAAAACAAAACCCCAGGGCAGTTAATTTCAGTTTTCTAGATCAGAGCCACTATTTCCTTGAAATAGCTCCTTAATTATCCTCACAAGGCTGAGTGACCCTGTTCCAGACCCACTACTTCTCAGAAAATCAGGTAGCACCAGGAACAAAAACTGGACCTCTGGATCTGTAGCCAGGAACTCTGACCACTAGACCACAGAGGCAGTCCAAATAGTATTATCATGCACATTTATGTTCTAATAATTTCTACAGCTTGTTTACAGTAGCTTGGATCCAGACACACTGATTTTTGAAAGTCAGCCTCATTCAGACACTTCCATGTATCCAAGGATTGGCTTTTGAATATAAAATATGTGTCCTCTTAAAGTAATGCAAATAACAGAACAGCATACAAAATCTTTGTCACTGTGCTTTTCCTTGCCTTCTAACCAATTCTCAATAAATACAGTTTACTGTTTGCATCTCTGTACCTATAAGCAAACAAGTTAACAAATTTTTCTGAATAATGAACTCATTCTTGGATTCAATGACATCATTTCAGCTCAGCTGCAGAGATCAGATACCATCATATGAGATGGGCAGATGACAGAGTATAGTGATTTAGGAAATACTATTTTAAGCTACTCTTCTAGCATTTACTTTGACAGACTGATGAAAGCCACAAAAACTGACTTAAAATAGCCAGTAACCAAACCATCCCGCCCGAATACAAGTACAGAATATTACTGCTACACCAACCTGAGCAATATCTTTCTGAACACATAATGGCTCAAGGGTTTCAGTGACATGGCTGTAATGGAATAGTAGTAGATTCTAACTTGAACTTACTTCTTTATATAAGAACTGGCTTCCCATATATTATCAGGCACAAAGCCAGCTGGGTCCTTCTGGATTGTCACCACAAATATTCCTTTTTCTTTGTATGTCGTGTACAGAGTAAGGATTAACATCATAACAAAGTACGTGATCACACAGAATAAAAGTACACAACTGAAACAAAACAAGTTAAAGAGTAACAGTATTTATACACACAAGCAAACTGATGACCATCACTGAACCAGAACCATATTGTACTTAGTTATTGAGTACAATGAGTGAGCGATTTTAGGAGTTAGCCAAAATGTTTAAGGGCCAAAGACAAAATGATTACCCAAACTTAATACGTTTCGCAGTGCATTGTAAGATGTGTTTATGAAAGCTGCTTAAATAATGACAGCATTTATGAAAGTGGGTTAACACAGAGAAACTATAGGGAAGTTCCTATATCTACCAACCAGTTCATGGCTCTGCACTTCATAGTGACTCGTGCACTGCCGGCTGCAAACCACATACAAACTTTGCCGATGAATCAGTATGCCTGATGCAAGATAATGTTAGGAATGAAGGGAAGTTACTTATTTTGTGGGCTGCTTGATGGAATTATGTTTCATAGCAAGCAGTGCAGTTCATGTGTGGGAATTTATGATTTGTCAGTAGTTGGTCGCAGTTATCAGCTCCATTAGCCATTTACTCTCAGTTACAATTAGTGAGCAGTGTGTTACGCCATGGTATGATATACTTTAGAGCAAGGGTCTCCAAACTACGGCCCGCGGGCCACATCCGGCCCGGGAAAGAATTGTGAAGAAATGCGCCAATTGAAGTAATTTTCCAATGAGTACTGGTAAATGTGATTTCGAGCTTACTGACCTGACATATTATACTGCAGTTCGATGGCTTAGCTGTGGAAAGGTTCTTTCGTGTTTCTTTCAGTTCAGGAATGAAAATGAAATATTTCTTACCAAGAAAAACCATCACGAACCACTTTTATCAGATACCGAGTGGCTTTGGAAATTAGCATTTTTTGCTGATCTGGTGAACCATATGAACCATTTGAATTTAAAGTTATGGGGTGAAAATAACTTAGTCTGTGATTTATTTGCACTTATCAAAGCATTCAGAGCAAAGCTGATACTTCTGGAAAGTCAAGTGAAAAATTTTAACTTTGTTCATATGCTATACTGTGCAGAGTTGCATAAAAAGGATGAAGCTGAATTTTCTTCCTCATTTGCAAATTTAGTCATTTCAGATTTGAAAGAACAATTTTGGAAGTGATTTAGTGATTTGGATTCCAGTGCTCATGAAATTAGTTTGTTTCAAAATCCATTTGACTGTGATGCTGCAGATGTCCCAAATCAAATTCAAATGGAAATTACTGAACTCTGAGCAATTTCCAAATTTAAAGAAATTTGCTTGGAATTTATCTCCATTTTTGGGACGACATATCTGCGTGAACAAACTTCTTCCCAGGTGAAGTACATCAAGTCGAAATACAGGGCAAATTTATCCGATGAACATTTGAAGTCACTACTTGTGATTAGCGTTTAAAAATTTGAACCTCAATTTAATCAGATTTTAAGAATGCAAAAAGAGTTCCATCATTCACATTAATTGTTTTATTATAATTTGTGATGAAAATATGAGCATTTGCTGCTACTGTCTGTTGTCATTAATATACGATAATTTATTCTCACGTACTTTGTACTTATTTTATGAAATTCTGTGCTTTCAATAAAACTCATATACCTAGAGTTATTAATTTCTCATTTTATCCAGCCCGTTGAAAGTGCTGAATTACCTAATGTGGCCCGCGGTTTGAAAAGTTTGAAGACCCCTGCTTTAGAGCAACGTGTATTTCTGTATAACACCTATGTGAAGTATGGATCTGCTTGGTGTCGGCAAAAATTCTGATGTAAATTTCATGACGAAAGAGTTCCCAAAGACAAAACATTCATAATTAGATGAATAAACTTAGATCAACAGGACTCTTGGCAAGAAACAAAATAGAAGTGCGAAGTGCTTACTGAGAAGTTACATGACACAGGAACCAGACTTGAACACACACCTTGAAAATCATTGAAATGTGTATCTCAAGAAACTGGAGTGTCAAAGTCAAGTGCAAGATGGGCAACACAATTGCTGAAGCTTAAACCCTATAAAACAACAGCAATCCATGTCATTCAGCAGCATAACAGAACTAGTAGGGTTCATTTTTGCAGTCGGTTTCTACAGTCTGTCATCAAAGGTCAGACTGATCAGCAATTGACATTCATTTCTGATGAAGTGTGGTTTCACTTGCATGGATACATAAATACGCAAAATAATTACTGCAGTTCACAGCATCCACATCTAACCCATGAAGTCCTCTCCATTCTGTGAAAGTTAGTGTCTGGTGTGCTCTAAGTGCAAGAAGGATTCTTTGACCTGTTCTTTTCAGTGAAACAACTAATTGCAAAAGATATGTATAGGTCATTCTCAGGCAATTNTTTAACGGACGGGGGAAAAAAAAAAAAAAAAAAGACTATGGCTAGCTTCAGCAAGGCTCTGCTACTACCCACACTGGATGTACAAGGGGTAGGCATAATAATGGAAACAATAAGAAATTGAGGAACAGAATTTATGTGAGTTACACAGAAAGAACTTCAGCTGGCAACATTTGTATACACTTTGTAATGTTCACGTCTGCGAATTCATGATTGTGACAGTGGAGTATGTGTCAAAGAATCTGAAAATGGGAGACTTGTCCAATTCTGAATGAGGACAGATCATTGGCAGGTGTTTAGCTGGAATGTCTGTGAAAAAATCATGATATTATTAGGCGTATCGAGAGTAACAGTTTCTAAATATCAATCATGGGAAGACAACATCAGTGAAGAGGAACCGTGGGAGAAAATCAACTCTGACAGAAAGAGTTCATTATACATTGAGAAGGACTGTTACCAAAAATTACATAATTACTGCAGCACAGGTGACAGCAGAATTAAATATGTATTCATCTTGAAGGCACTGTTTCCACAAAACTGTCCAACATGAGCTTCACAGATCCAACATCCACGGTATGGCTGCAACTGCTAAACCTCTGATTACTGAAAATAATACACAGATGTGTAAATGATGGAGTCCTCTCATGACCATAAAACCTGGACATCAGACAACTGAAAACGCACGCATGGCATGGTCAGATGAGTTGTTACTCATGCTGTTCCCTCTACATCAGGAACACTTTATGTTTGGAGATCCAACAAAGCCTAAAATCCAGAATACCTGGTTCCAACAGTGAAACATGGGGGAGTTCTGTGATGGTTTGGGCAGCAATATTGTGGTATTCTGTTGGTCCCATTATTACCCTTTATGGCAGAATTACTGCAAGGGAGTACATGTACAAGTTGGGTAATCAGGTGCATCCTATGATCCGGATGCTATTTCCGAACAACAACGCAGTTTTCCAAGACAATAATACGCCCCTGAAACACAGCTGAAACTACTCAGTCATGGTCTGAAGAGCATGAAGGTGAACTTCAACATCTTCCTTGGCCAGCACAATCACTACATTTGAACATCACTGAACCACTCTGGTCAGTTTTGGGGACTAGAGTGAGGAACAGATTCCCACCTCCAAAATCTCTAATGCAACTTGAAAATGTCCTTCAAGAATGGTATAAGATTCTGCTGCAGACTGTTCAAAACTTGTATGAGACCATTTCAAGGACTGTAGCTGTACTGAAAGCAAAAGTTGGTCCAACACCATATTAATAAAGAAATGCGAACAGTGTCTTTTGCCCAACCCCTGCATATCTATGTGGGTTTTGTCCACTGTCTTTGGAGACAGAATTATAAGTAGAGGTATTTGGCCAGCATGTTTCACTGATCTTAATTAATCCTTGTGATTTTTTCTTCTGGGGTTGTTTGAAGGACAAATATTCCAACAGTAATGACCGAACAGAAAAACTAAATTAAAATATTCATAGGGAGTTCACAAATATTCTTGCAGAACAGCTTCAAAGGGTAAGTCAGAGCCTCTTCCACTGGCGTGAGAAATGTCTACGTGTAGAGGAACATCAATTTCAGCACCTACTGTGATCTGTGAATTGTAACTACTTAATTCCGAACATTACCAGCCAACAGGAAGATTGATTAATTGGAAAAATTCATATCCAGCTTGCAGCCAGCAGTGCACCGATCACCATGAAGCACAGTGCCAAGAACCAGTCAACAAAGGTAAGAACTTCCCTGTATTAGTCCATATTCTTAGGTAAGGGAAAAAATTATCAACTAAACATAACTTACTGAACAATGACAACGAATAAAACATTATACAACAAATGAAAAACTCTGTTGCTACTCAGGGGGGAATTTGATGATCCTAATAAATTTGATTGTGCTGAATTTCATTCTCACTTTAAGTATATTGTACCAAGGGAGTGGCAATAAATTTTATATTGTAAAATAAAACTGTATTGCAATAAGAAATTAAATACAATATACTTTATAACTGATATCAGTAGCTTCTCTTATCAGTTCCAACAATAGCTGGCCCGCATATTAGGATTCTACCCTCCTTAACATTACATTTCCATGAGATACCTCTTGATACTGTTGCAGTGTTTGCCACTGATAGCACCCAAATTTGATAGAAAATATCTAAATATCAAAGCAGAATATGTATCTGTATTGCAACCAATTTTCTAATGGCATCTGGCATGTCCTTAATAACATTACCACAATTTTCTGTTTTAACACTGCCTTGGAAATTGATGGTCGGTATTTTAAGAGTTCAATGCTGTTTCTGTTTTGTGTTTAAAGAGGTTTCAAATATGCTGTTCTCCATAACATTTCTAATTTGTGGGCTAGAAAAAAAAACATCCTCTTTGACTTTTGCTTCACTTATTCTCAGGAATTTATTTTTTACATATAAAATCCCTGAATTATCTTATATCTGGTTTTTAAAAAGCTTCTCACTAAGCCCATTTCAATCTGCAGGGGAACCAAAAGAAATTTTCCTGTTTCCTGGTCTTCCCATACAACTGGACCAGATTGATAAACATGGCCCCTTTAATTCTCAGTAACATTTTCATAATTTTCGTAATTTGAGAACAAAAATCCACTGAAAACATTCAACTTTACACAAAGGAGAAAGCACTGTACAGCAGGCACAGGTTACAACATTGCTGTGCACTCTGGAAAGCAGTAGAGGTTCAACTGCTCAGTAAACTGTGTAAGATATATTAAAATTTTCTTGGGTAATCAGCCATGTCAATGCTGAATTAGAAACCAAGGTTTCAGAGATCTCCTCAGTCTCCAAGTTGATGTCAATATCAGCCCTGATGATGGAGATTGATGAGATCTCTGAAATGTTGGTTTTTAGTTCAACAGTGACATGGCTGTTTGACCAAGAAAATGTTGGTACACTTATTTGCCATGAAAGCTTCAAATCTTACATATCTGTATAAAATCATTACCTATAACTGCACTCACCACTTCAAAAACAGATGCAGGGTAATCAACAATTATGTTCACTATTACAGATCCAAGGAAATGTTCGTCACTTGGCTTCCTATAAGTCTTGCACCATTCATCACTATCTACATGACCCTTAAAAATATACTGGAGCAAGATCACTTCATAGCCAAGTTTGAAGAGAATTTCTGCCTCTACAATTTAAACTTAAGACTAAACACTGGTTGTCATAGAACACTGAACCACAAATAGTTAAGTACACAAAGAATATATGGTGAAATTTTACTGCACTCTTCACTTAATGTTTACATTCTGGGACACAAAAAAATCACCTAATGATTTAAGAGTACTTTGTCTCTAATCATAAAAGTATATTGTTATATGAAAACAAAATGGTTGCTGTCCAACTGATATAACCATTTCCTGAACCTATTCAGGCAGACTGTACCTTCAGATTTTAATTTATTTCACAAAACAGAAACAAGGCTCAAATAAAAATTGTTTATACTATTTCATGTTATGATCAATGAGTCTGAACTGGTCCAAATATGTGTAAGGAACTTTGCCCCTCCCGCCCCCCTATATTCTGAACAATCAGAGTTTACAAAATATGTTCCCAGGAGGGCTGAGAATGACAATTTAGATAGGAATGTTTTCAGGCACCTGAGCCAGGAGAGGGTTACAAAAAGTAAACTATGAAACAATAAAATAACCAATGTTGAATTTCCATTACTTCACAGTTCATTTCTTATTGCATCACTGCCTTACCTGGACTGTGGAAATGGATACAGGTAATCCCACAATAGTGCAAACATGGCTACACCAACAGCTATGCCACACATTACCAATCTGCCATCCATTAGTTTAAAATTTTCAACATAATTGAACTTCTTTGTTAAGACCTGCGAAAAGAGACACTAATGACATACAAAATATTTTCTTTCAAAAGGTTACTGAAGCCTATAAGGATGTCTTTTCACATCAGATAACTGCTACCTACATCTTCTTCCAACAGCTATCATTACCTGCAACAGAAGCAGCACTTCACAGCAGCATTTTCCTTCTTTTTCTTTTATGTGGAATCTTTCTGCATTTGAAACCGCCACTTCCCTTCTTTGAACAAACACAATTCAGTGATCCAGCTCTGCAGTTCCCACTAGTGCAGATATTCAGTTTGCCAGAAATAACACCAACACCACCATATTTACAATTGATAATACAACAAGGTTTCACCCAGAATTTGTATGTATCTTTATGATTTATCCCCACAAAGGATGTCAGGTGCATACCTACACGGTTCATTGGTTATCATGAACAAAAATCCGAACATGAATCTTCTGCAATCATCACACTGTTGCTTTACATTCTATACAACCGATGCCTTAGGAACAGTTGAAATACTTTCAACAACCCAACACCATACAAAATTTCAAGATCCAGCATCAGTGAGGAACATTTCTACTAAATTTGCAAAATACTGAGAAATGCTGAATTTTTAAGTCAGGTGTGTTTCGTCCACAATGATATTTTGTTTTTAATGCTATGTTATCACAAAAATCTTATTTTAAGCAGGTACATGTTTGGAAATAATATAAACAGACAATACTCAGGAAACAGGTGCTTTATGTGTGTATTCAATGATGCAGAAGCATATTTTATTAAGCCACTGCACAGACACCTATGCTGCACTTCCAGATTCCAAGATTCTGCACTTTTTGGCTTCATGTCACATTACATTATATACAGAACTTACACCCTGCTGCACTTCCAGATTCCAAGATTCTGCACTTTTTGGCTTCATGTCACATTACATTATATACAGAACTTACACCCTGCTGCACTTCCAGATTCCAAGATTCTGCACTTTTTGGCTTCATGTCACATTACATTATATACAGAACTTACACCCTGCTGCACTTCCAGATTCCAAGATTCTGCACTTTTTGGCTTCATGTCACATTACATTATATACAGAACTTACACCCTACAAGTAAGTTCTATATTGAAGTAATTATCCAGACATACACACAAACTGCATAACAGTTGTAATTCACACATGTTTTGGAACAGTTCATAACATTCACATCTGTATAAATACACAGAGAAAACTAAGAATAAAAAAAGTTAATGTTGTTCCTTTGATCATTTAATTCAGCACCATGCCATGATGATGTAAAGGGCAATGGAGGAATAGCTCCACTAATCTTGATCTCATCATTGATGGCAGAAAATGGTCAGCTTCACAGCCCAGCTGCTTTAGTCCTGGTACCCAGAGGACAGGAGGCTGCGTGGGCCCCACGACCAGTCTGGATGCTGTGGAATACAGAAAAACCTCTTGCCCTTGCTAGGAATTGAACCCCGGCCATCCAGCCCATAGCCGGTTGCTATATGACTGAGCTATCCATATTTATAAATAATTAATTGATTATGACTGGTTACTGATTCCTTTGTAACACATTTTCATCAACAGCTTAAAATGATTTTAATGTTAGTTTAAAACTGTTTTCCATTTGTGAAGCATTTTGGTGAAAATATCACATTAGGTTACTTAAGTTAGTTTACTTGCTTACATTGCCCATTCTTCCATTTATATATTTCAATCATAATATTAAAGACTGCTATCCTTCTGAGTACCTAAAAGTACAGTGTCTTACTGTATCATTATTTCTTATACCACTTCAAATTTATCTGTTATGGTTTTTCAGTTACACAGTACTGGCACAAGTGCTTTTCAAATGTTCTGACATTCCATGGTGTCTTTAAATTGTAAAATGGCAATAACACATCTGCAAGAAAACTCAGTACAGGAACACATTCATGAGAAATACTGTACTACACTAGAAGCAATAAGATTGAATGCAGCGTGTTACCTAAATCTTATATATGCTGTGCATACTTTTATTAACATGTTTTCCTTCCAATAAAATAAAGATTTGTTCCAGTTATTATTGATGTTCATTGTGTAGCACTTGTGATAACTTTACCCTGAACAGAAATGTTTCAGAAAGGGTCTAAATGGGCGGGTGGGGTTGCGGGGACATATGTTGTATGACATATTTCAAGATGTGTAATTTTACAACTAACTGCTCAGTCTATATGCATAATCATCTTAATTCCATGTGTATAAAGAGAATTTAAACACAGTTATACCAGTCACTTGAAATACTGTTGTGTGCTACACGAATATTCTATTTTATTTATTTATTTCGTCTCTATAGATCAGTGTTCCGCAACCTTTTTCTACTCGCGGCACACCATGAAGTATCCATGACTCAACACAACACACCAAAATGTTATTCCCCTCAAAAACGTATATCAGACAATTAATATGAATATGTAACGTGATCAACTTAATTATATTATTATATTGTTATTTTATTATCATTAAACAGAAATCGACTCGTGCATTTATTAACAATTACTGAACTTCAATTCACTGTAGAGTGCAGAAAATACACTTCTATTACTATTAAAGTAAATACAGTAATTCTACTTATACCTTCAATGTGATACTTGCGCCTGCTTAGCTGCACACAGGCGACTGATCCGTGGTGGAATCGTTGACAACACAAGTCTCATTTCATCATCAATGGATTTGAGCAGCTCACTCTTTGATGTCTTAATTTCAGTTAACGTCGAGAAGCTCAGTTCACACAAATATGTAGTTGAAAAAGGAAATAACACATTAACTGCCATCTCGGAGATAGCCGGGTATCCACTCCTTATTGCCAACCAAAACGTATCCAAAGGCACTTTGAGCAGTTTTAGTTTCAATGTTCTGTCTGCTTTTAAACCTGCGAGTTCCTCTTGTATATTAATTGGAAGATGTTCTGAATTCACAACAAATGGATCACGAACCCGGTCGAAATCTTGTACAGTCCCTCCAAAATACTTATTAAATTTCTGCTGCAGCATTTCTAAATGTTCTTTAATTGTGTCCATCACCACTTTATTGCCGTCAGCAAGTGGCCATACAGTCGAGGACATCTCAAATGACCCATCTGTAATTCTCTAACTAGCAACCAAAATTTGCGAACTACTTCAGAGCACAGCTGTGATAGAACTGAAACAATTGTAAAACGCGGGATCTCTTCTCTTCAAATGGAAGAAGTGACACTATACCAACTTATTTTTTAATATTCATAATTTTAAATTAAGTCCACCAATAGGTGTGCGCATCGTTACAGGAAGAAAGTCATAAAGTTCAATAAGCTCTAACTTCTAACAAACATTGGCAAATACCAAAACAGCATTATAAAAAAGACAGGAAGAACCATGTTAATCCCTGCAGTTTTAGGGAAAATCACGTACACAGAACATGCGGCAAACATATCAAAGAAGCTGCGTAGACGTGAGGAAAATAAAAATAAATCAGTAATGAAAACTATGATATACAACAACTGTGAGTACTGTGAGTAAATAATTTATGTTTAATTTCTTAGAATACAACATTACTGTACATAAAAAAATCACAGCATGTAAAAAAGAATAAACAAGCATCATCTTATTTAATCGGTGCAGTGGCTGAGAATAAAACACAAGCACGTGAAACACGGTAACTGGGATAAAATAAAATTCGACAATTAATTTCTTACAATAGGTAAAAGTTTGCATCACGCCTTTCACCTTGTGACGGCACACTGGTTGCGGAACACTGCTATAGATCATTGTTACATGATATAGGACAAGTCAGTTACTGTACATTGGCTGATTATTAGCTATGCTAAGGCCATGAAATGAAGTCCCATGATGAGACCGACAGCATTCCAGGTTTCCTCTGTCTACTGCAGTATTCACCTCATGTCTCCTTAGTCTTAAGCCATCCAGCTCAAAGCACATGTCACTAGCAAAGTTACTACCATTCCTGTGTACGGTACATCCAGATCAACTGGAGAACACAGAGAAATGCACCAGAGGAAAGTGTACATGACTAAAGAAGATGTGGAGGATGATCAATGGGACTTCTATCCATGACCTTGATAAATACAATAATTGAAACTATACTGCAAAAAGGAATAAAGTTATTTTCAATTTTTTCACACATCCTTAAACACACATGCTGAATATGACAAGCTTTCCTCACCTCCTTCACAGCATCATCCAAAGCATTTTTTACAGCAGAACTGTCCCATTTATTAATCTTCACAGGTTTATCTTTATCCTGAAAGAATGAAACCAACATTGTATTTATAAATGATGTCGACATTTTATAGCGAAGCCATTGCATCATGCTTATTCATATGCCACATCCTATTTATTAAACTTCACAGGTTTTCCGTTACCCTGAAAGCATGAAACAAACATTTTATCTATAACTGAGGTCAACACTGTTTCATAATTATGCCACTACCTTCCGGCTTATTCATGTCACTTAAGATCAAGTAACACATCCTTATGGGAATGCCTTAAACAAGCGTCGTGGTTGCAGTCCATGTGCAAAGGAGTTAAGCCTTAAACATGCATTATTTGTTAACCTGAAAAAAAAATCAAAATTCTCCCTCTAATTCCAAAAACCTTAATAGTGTCCACAATAAATTTAGTACAACAAAATATACTACCTGCACCGAGCTATCTTTAGCCATTTTCGAAGCCTAGTGTACACCTATGACGTAAACGGTTACATACGTGTACCACCGCAGCTCAGCGTTGGGCACACAGCATCACCAACATCACCAACCTAACTACGCTAACTACCGCTAACTACTGCCTCTAGCGAAGTCAGATAGTGCACGCTGGTCTCGACCAATCAGAGAGCCCAAACCGCCTAAACAAAACAATTTGAATTCCCGCAATTATATGCGGTTATGGTGGATCAATATAGGCAAATTGGTAAGTATGAATTTTCATTTGATGTGGGTGCGAAACGAAAGTAGACATTTGCAAACGAAATTACAGCTCCATATTAAACATATTATTTGTGTATATGAATATTATGCTTACTATCACAAATTAAATTAGAAACATATAGAATTGTTTCAAGCCTAAAATTTTTTAGGTTATTATGAACTGTCATCTAAACGATATTTGTTTTATGATATGTTCTGCAACTTTTGGTTTATCACAAAGATTGTCTGTTGAATGGGAAGGAGTTCTGAGAGTACCGTGATGGTGTTATAATTTTTGTATTGCTTCTTGCAGTATAAATATGAAAACGGAAACATGTGCTTTTGTTGGGTGCTTGTCGTCCAGCAAGCAAGGCATGAGAATCTTCAATTTTCCAAGGGATCCAGCACGGTAGGTCTGTTTTAATTCAGGTGTAATTACTTTATTATGTGTTGCCTAATCCAATGAATAAATTAAGTTTAGTGTAACTTTAATTGTTTCTTGCATCCTGTTGTTTATTTAATTAATATTAGAGTCAATTTTACCGACCACACAACATAGTTTTATTATTATTACATTACAGCTGTGTTCGCACACCTGAGGATGACCTCTTGAGGTCGGATCATGTAGTGTAATAATAATAAAACTAGGTTGTGTGGTCGGTAAAATTGACTCTAATATTAATTAAATACACAACAGGATGCAAGAAACAATTAAAGTTACACTAATTATACAGCTGTGTTCGCACACCTGAGGATGACCTCTTGAGGTCGAAACATGTAGTGTAATAATAATAAAAATATGTTGTGTGGTCGGTAAAATTTACTCTAATATTAAGTTTAGTGTAGTCGGGTCGGGTCGGAAGTGTCTGTTGCGTACACAGTTAAACATAATATTTCACGGTTAGACCTAAATAGTGAATTTGTCTCACAGGAAGGNAGGTTAGTGATGGCAAGAGTTTCAGATTTCACAACAAAATGGTCTATCCAAAATTAGAGGCTATCTTGGTAGAAGCCTTGGAGCACTCGTCAGGCATGAATTCATAACAGACTGCACGTGGTGCAGTATAAAGTTTGTCATTTACCTTTATTTCCATAGATCCATACAAAGTAAAAGGATATGAAAATTCTCATAATAAAAAGAACATTACAAAAATACATATAGTCAAATAACACCATACAATATCATTACATTTATGGCTACAAAAACTTAATATTAAAAACTACATATGATTAATAACCTGTTACAAAGAAATTATATCTTTATTTTTATCATATTCAAAATGCCGCCGCAGAATGCAGTTGAAGTGATACTAATTGTACTTGAGTGTGTAAGAATAAATATGTGTGAAGTTATTTGTGTCGTGATATACCCAACATGTGACAATATTCTAACAATGTATAAAGTGAATGGCAACACAGAAAAGATTCTTCAAAGCCGATTTAAAACCTTTGCAATTTTTGTATAATTGCTTTAAGTATGAAGGAAGATTATTACAAATCTTTATATCCATATAGCAAGTTCCCTTCTGATATAGAAGAGCTGAGGGTTGTGTAAGAGTTATTCATAGGGGCTTCATGTTTCCTCGCGTTGTGTGCTACTCTTAGCTGCTCTTTCGCGCTGTTATTGATACGAAGTCGGGCGCTGTTACGTGGTCTGGGAACCATGTCGAAGTATTTGTAATATGAAAGAATATCCTAGGTCTTGAGTCTTGAGTCTGTCTTGAGGCTTAGCGGGCCGCGCTTGACAAGAAGGGATCACACACAGTGAAGAAGTCTTCAGACCACTACAAAGGGGGGGGGCATGCTTTTTATCTGTTGCATATTTTATGTACATATCAGTCCAAATGTTTATTTTACGAATATTATCAGTCCGTTCATAATTGATCCATCTTTTCCAATGTTTTATATCATGTGCATAACAAAACCGTGTACTTGAATAGTTGTAATATGTAGTATTATTACACCTGTGTTCTAATAAATTATTTCAGTATCAATTTTCCATGTTTTGTTACTCTTCTCTATCACCTCAGTTTGCATTCTTCTCATGTTGGACTAGGCGTTTTGTGTTACGGAGATGTGTTTCTGAGACTGATGATGGTAACTGTAAGAGAACATGCAGCACTTTATTTATAAGTTGAAAAATTACATAACGTGTGGTTTTATTATTATATACTTTTGGTTTATGGTTCTATTTCTATATACTTCTTCATGTGTGTTAGGCAGCAAATGTGTATTAATCTTTTTTTTTTTCAGTCCCGTGAAAGAAGCGACAAGTTTCCAGGAGCATTGCTTCCTCTCGTTGTTTGAAACGGCAACAAAAGGAGAAAATGCTGGGAGAGGATGTTCCCATGTGGGCGATATCCCATGTCAATGACATGGGAGTACTGAATTCGTCGTGGAAGGAGGAAAAATCTTCAAATTTCTTTCAAGAAGTACAAAATGGCATTGGTTATGTGGACCCTCCCGAAGAGTGTAAGTAATCCATTCCATTGTGAATCAAATTGTGCCCTGCAGAAAGTCTTAAACTTTGACTTCAGACTTTTTAAGTACTGATAAATTTCATAATATTTTGTATGTGCTCTTCTGAAATTTCATATTCCTGTCCCATAGTTTGTAATGTCATATCAAGAGTACTTTGGAGCCTATTATTTTCAATGGTGCTGCTGTTATGAGTAACACTGATTAACAAGATATTAGCAATATTAAACATAGTTTTGGTTAATGTTGGTTACTGGATTTGGGAAGTGTTGCTCCTACCACATAATAAATCAGCTATATTACCAGTTATAGGAAGCAGAAGTGTATGAATTTTGGGTGGCCTGAGTTAGTTGCTGAATTCCCCCCGTGGCGGCCCGCATTTGATCCTGGGTCTGGTCAAGTGGGATTTGTTGTGGACAAAGTGGCCCTGGTGAAGGTTATATCCAAGTACTTCAGTTTCCCTTGCTAATCTTCATTCCACCAATTGCTTCATAATCACCCTCACCTAACATCTGGGTCTGGTACAATAGGCCAGAAGTGACCACAGTACAAGGGGCTTAGTTCCACCCCACTAGCAATAAAAAAAATTAAGATAAAATGAGGTTGTGGTGTTTAGTTTAATTTTATATGTTATACAGTATTAGGCATGTTAGAACCTGTTGCAGATACTGCATAACAGAATCACTTAATTATTTGAGAGTTCTACCAAAACTGCTTCTCATTCTGATAGATATTTTAAGATCATTGGCATCCTGGTAGGATGTTCTTTCCAGTTTTGAATTTACTCAGTATTATGTACAGGATTATTACGCTGATCCATATTCTAGAAGCTAAAAATATAAAGATTATAACTGAGTTGAGCTATATTATAATTTTATGACTTTCAAGTTTGAAATGGCAGGGTCATATTTAACAGTGAATATGGAAACTGCATCATGGTATTGCTCAATGTCCACTGTAACAGCATTCTTCCATCAATAGATTGGATGATTT